AGGACAATCGAACAAAATGTCCTAACGTAGGATCAAGCAGCAGATCATAGTTTCATATGTAATCTTGTCCCGTTAAATCAATATCAAATTCCATTCAATTAATAGCAACTTTTATAAGATTAATAGCAAATTTCATTCGAATAATACCAAGTTTCAATCAATTAAAAGCATAGTTAACTGACATAACAACAACATAAAAACAGAACATTGCACGAAGGCAACATAAATTAAACAAACATAACAACAACGTAAAGACATAAAACAGAACACTGCACCAAGGCATCTACGATATCACGACCATTAACTTTATCTTCTTTGGTGTCAACATCATCACAAGGACACCGACATCATTTTCCACTTTTCTCCATTCACGAGTAACTCCGTTTCTCCCGGTCTCCTCGACCAACCTCTCAATTTTCCTAATCTTTTCTCCTGGACCAATATCTCCTTCTAGCCAGCGGTTCAGTTCCCTGTGCAAGTGCTCCAACGTCTGCGTATTCCAAAGGAGCACCTTCATCGGAGGCTTTGTTGCTGAAAACACAACTAAGACATTTCTTTTCATTAGATCGAACGTTGGAAAGGGTTCCTCCGATGCTGATGACGACGAGGACGACGAACGTTGATTTAGAAATGCAGACATTCTAGGCTCCACTCAACCCAAAATGCACTAAAGCTTCAGTCTTTTGGGATACAATGTTGTGAAAACATACATTTGTTTGCAGTCGTATTTATAGTAAAAAAAATGGTACGTACCTCATATGATATGACTTAAACACCCTTACAAAATTTACATTACTTAAACTTCAATGAACACTCAATTTTTATGTTTTAAAATTATAAATTAATTTGAGATCAACATAAATTTATTTAATTAGGTTTAAAATCTAAACTTCAATGGACACTCAACTTTTAGAACAACATAAATTTATTTAATTAATTTGAGATTATTTTTATTTAAACCTAATTATTTTAAATTTATTAATTAAAAATTAATTTTAACATTAAACCTAATTATTTAAAGTTTATTAATTAAGAAATTAATTTTAACGTTAAACCTAATTATTTTAAATTTATTATTAATAATTATAAAAACTTAATTTTAACATTAATTGAAATTAAAAACATAATAAAAAAATAAAGGAAAAATCAAAACCCTAGAAATTGCCTATTTGGCGACTTTGTTACTGCCCAAATCCCATTTTACCTGTTTCGCTAATGCGTCTGACGAATTGCATACAAGTCCAATTCAGTGTTTTGCCTCTTTCGCCAATTCATTTGGCGACTGTCGGTTGAAGAAGTTGTTACTTTGGTAAATTTTTTAAAAATCTCATTAATTTAATTGATATTATTTTTGGAATACATGACTAGTTTAAAAAAAATTATATATTTTTCAAAAATTATTTAATGCAAATAAAACCCAGCCTATTTTTTTTACATAAATAAAACCCAACCCTACGTTCTAACAATAATAATAATAATATATATAGACCGATTATAGGCTTTTGAAAAATAGTTCTAATATTTGGATTATCTTTAGAATTATTTATGAAATTTGGAGTTATAATTTCAAAAGTATTTACATTGCATAGCAACAATGAGCTTGATGCTTATGGTAGAAGAAGATTGAGATGGGTTCAGAAGTACTTCATGATATATAATTACTTTATTATATACCAATGGTTTACACCTTAATTGTTTTTTTGGTTTAGTTGATAGATTTGTGAGAGAATATATTATTTGTAATAATGTTTAAATCTCTTGCACAAATATTTTGATTAAAATAACAATACTACAATTTTTCGTACATTTTACTCACCGTGTTAAATATATGTATGCAATAGTTTTCAATTTTTCACATAACTTCTAATTTATTTTTCATCTTTAACATTGCTCTTAACATTTAAATTACTGGTAACTCATCCAATGTGAAAATTGATTTCGTAGATGATAAATGTCTCTTTAATGTCACCAAAAGCATTATAGAAAATTAATGTTTTGGAAATTTTTTAACTCATTCATTTATATTAAACAAATTTAAATATTTAACTACAAATATAATTATCGAACTTCCTAATTTTGCATAATATCCCTAAATTCATTGCAAAATGTTGTTTCACCCCTAATACTCATAAAATTATTATAAGGAATTTGGACATGTTTCATTTTTTATTGAATACGTGAGCATGCCCAAATTCCTAAACATCGAAGTATTTATTAGGACATGACTATTGTTAAATCTATTGTTGGGTCATCATGAAGAGCATTTATATTGGGTCAAGAGCAACACACAAGTGAAAGAGACACCACATATTCACACAAAATCTTAAGGTGATAGGTGTATGAGTCTTCTCACTTATAAAGTGCTCAACCTCTATTTTTTAAGCAATGTGGGACTTCCAACTCACACTCGTGTACAATAATCTTCCTCTCAAATGTGAGTCCATCCACTATGATCCTCCTCAAACGGACGCTCTTTCATCCACATACACTTGTACTCCCGTTGCGGGCACTACAACGGAACACGACGCCTAACCACCATATTGTCAAGAAAGGAGCTGGTCCCTTAATTGAACCATCGGCTCTGATACCACTGTTGGGTCATCTCAAGGAGCATCCACATTAGGTTAAGAGAAACACACAAGTGAGAGAGAGACATTACATATTCACCCAAAATCTTAAGGTGTTAGGTAAATGAGTCATTTCTCTTATAAATCCAACATTCTATCCATTTATAGACAATGTAGGACTTTAACCACTCACACTTGTACCCAACATTTTCCTCCATAAGTCCATTTATAGACAATGTAGGACTTTAACCACTCACACTTGTACCCAGCATTTTCCTCCATAAGTTTGAGTCCCACACATCCTATAGCAAGATCCAATACCGAATTTAGGTCGCGCTCCTCCACAAAGTCGAACCACGTCTCTGATACCACTATTGAGGGAGTTCAAGAGAGTCAGGAGCACTAATAGGACTAATGGTCCAAGGGAAGTCCTTCAATGTTTAATACTCTATAGTGAAAAAAACTCCTCTAACACATGGTATCATGAGCCTTTGGTTCGAGAATGAGACCGACTTAATTGTATCAAAATTCAAACGGCGTCACAAGGGTGGTGAGTAAGCGTTCCATTGAAGAGTGTCAATAGTGCCATAAAGGTGGCGAGTAAGAAACGTTTTGTGAGGAACAAGAGTTTGTGGAAGTAAAAAGAACTTTCACTTGAGAGGGAGCATTGTGGACTCGCACTTGAGGACGAGTATTGAAAATGTAGAAAGTGTGAGTAGTGTAGGTAATAGTTCCACATTGATTGGAAATATGGAGACTTAAGCATTTATAAGTGAGAGAACTCACCCACCTAAATCGCCTTAAGGTTTTTGGTGAATAAGTTGTTTGTCTCTCACAAAGGTGTTGCTTAAAGGAAAGTCCCACAATGTTCAATACTCCCTAGTTGAAAAAACTCTCCAACACATCTTGTTGTGACCATCATCAACATCCTTCAAGAGTAATTCCTTCTAACTTCTTCGTCGGACATCTGTTCAAAATATATGTTGCACTCGACACAACTTCTCCTCATAATTCTTTGGATATATGATTTCCTTTCAACATACTTCATTTGGAATGTCGATTTCTCGTATTCCTAAAACCATATTTTGGTGTCTCTCTCACATGTCCGCTGCTCTTGACCCAATGTGGATGCTTCCCAAGATGACCCAATAGTGGTATCAGTGCCGATGGTTCAATTAAGGGAACAACTGCTTGTTTCAAAAATCTTCTTGACAATGTGGTGCAATGGCAGTACAAGTGTATATGGATGCAAGAGGTTCTGCTTGAGGAGGAGCATAGTGGATGAACTCACACTTGAGGGGGAGATTGGTGTGTACAAGCGTACATTGGAAGTCACACATTGCTTAGAAAAATGGAGGTTAAACACTTTATATGTTAGATGGCCTATACACTTATCGCCTTAAGGTTTTAGGTGAATATGTGGTGTCTCTCTCGCATGTGTGTTGTTTTTGACCCAATATGGATGCTCCTCAAGATGATCCAAAATGTATGTATGTTTTTTTAATGTATGTGAAATTTGAACATGCACAAATGTAATGGTAGAAATTGCAGCAAATTTGCTAGACGAGCTGTGTAGTGCGTCAAATGAGGTTTTCTTCCACAAATTCACTTAGCAAGATATTCTTTGCTTAGTGAAGATCTCCTCAAAGTTTTCTTTCACAAATTCACTTAGCAAGATATTCTTTGCTTAGTGAAGATCTCTTCAAACTTTCTTTATTTTTGATGACTTGAGGACAAGTCAAGATTTTCTGCAGGCGCAGAATGAAAAAGAGATTAAATTTGAGCATACACATAAGAAAACTTGGGATATTTAAAACACTTTGAATGAGTTCTTGTTTAAAATATTTTAACATTTGTAAAATTTATGCATTATTTTGTTTGAAGTTGTTTCTCCATAAACAACTCAAATGATTTGAAAAGTCAAATGCAGATGAATCAAATAATATGTTACAAAGAGTATACAAAAATAATATAATAGGTGTAAATTTTAAAATTATATTCGTCACGTTGCACTAGTATACAAAGAGTTAAGCATTATTGGCATCTTACAGAAAAAGAGTATATATAAAAATCTTAATAGACTAAAACTAATATGAAAGTGGTATAAAAAAATTTATTTATGGATTTAATTGAAATATATTGTCAGTGTAAAATTTTACACAGACATTTAATCAGAGACGTTAAATGTTAGAAAAAATCTGACTTTTATTTTAACCGTCCATAAAATATTACAAATGGATGATGGTTATGAATTCAACGTGTAAAATATTTTACAATATATAGTAATTAACTCATTATTTATTTGATGATGCGTTATATGATATAGACACACACAAAATATATATAAAATCAAAGAATCATAATAAATTAAAACAGAAGCAAACTAATACACTTGACATAACTACTGTATGATAAGTTCTTCTTCATTTATCTTCAGAACCTTGAATGCATACACTCAGCAGGAATCCCTTGTGGAAATCGCTTAAGATCATTGCAGTAATTATATATCATGAAGTACTTCTGAACCCATCTCAATCTTCTTCTACCATAAGCATCAAGTTCATTGCTTTGCAATGTAGAATCAGAGAATGAATTAGAAGAGACAGAGGAGAGTTCAGTGGCTTTGAAATTGCGGTAGTAAGCCGTAAAGGGTGCTTTGGACCAGTCAGTTTTGACCAAACCACCTCTTGTAGCCCAATCATCAGCATTCCAGAGACTTGAATAGATTCTCATTGGTTGGTTCTTTGGGAATGGAACACCAACAGATTCAGCATTCTTGAACAATCTTATGGGAATGTTGTCAACTAAAAATCTGCAGTTAGTAATATGAATTTATCAGTTTATGTTTGAAGCACTTAATTAAGATATGTTTATATGAATTCATTACTAACATTATGTGTTGTGGCTTCCAGATGATGGAGTAAGTGTGGAAATTCTTGGTTGGGTCAAACCAGAGGTAGAATTGTTGTTCTCTGTTTCCTTTGCCTTGAGAAAACACGTTTGTGTGGAGAATGTATGGATCACCACTAACGTTCCCCAAGAACTCAAAATCAATTTCATCATGAGTTGGCCCTTGCGATGATAACTGCACCATATATGTCAAGATAATATATTATAAAGAAGAAAAATAGAAAAAGAAAAATCAAACAAAGCAATGTTAATGAAAGTTGGTTTTGGAAAAGAAGCAAAGAATATTAATATACATAATGTGAAGAGGACAAGAAAAGAATCAAAGTGAATTAATTAGATGGAAAAAAAGAGGTACTTACGTAGTAAGCAGTGACGGTTCCAGCAGAGTTTCCGGCAACGAGTTTGAGTTGCATATCAATCCTACCGAATAAATATTCTTTCTTGGATTGAAAGCCAGAGCCAGAGGTTTTGTCAAGAGAAAGAGATAGAAGCTGACCATTGTTGAATATCTTAGCACGATGATCACCCCATGTTAGATCAAAGTCTTGGTTGAAATTAGCAAAACATGTAGCTACCAAGGAGCTAATAATCATAACTCCAACAAGCATATTCATATTGCGAATAGAAGAAGCCATTGGACACATGAAAGTGTGTGTTATTAAGTAATTGTAATTGTTGTGATGTGAAGAATGTGTTAGAAAGAGGGTGTATATATATGTGTGTGTGTATGTAGATATTTGAATAAGAATAATTATGTAGGGTGGTGGGACGCGTGAAGGGAAGGGAGTATCCTCAAAAGCTGGTGACAGCTTTGCAAGTTTTGAAAACTGGAACATTTTGTTTGGTCACTGATTTTTAAATATGCTTATACTTTTTTGTTTTCTTCAACAATGATGCTAATAGTATTGGTTTGGCCTTGGGTTTATGCAGGGAACTAACGTTATGATACATATGGGTAGGCCTCGTAATAATTTTATTTGGACCAAACAAGTTGGAGCCAAAATTAGGTGGTAGATGCCAACTGGATGTGAAACTGATGAAGTAACCTATACTCTAATCATTTTTAAAATTTTAAAATTTCTAAATTTAATATTTGTGGAAAGACCCTCTTGAAAACACCCTATAAGAAATCCTAAAATGAGATAAGTAAAATTTGGAAAAATCATCTTAATGAATTTGTCATAATTCTGAAAAGAATTTAATTGATACATACGGACACTATAAAAATTCTTTATATTGTCAGTTAATTATAATTATTAATTTATTTAAAAAATTTGACTTTAATTTTAACCACTTAAAAAAAATAATAATAACGGATATTTCTGATATATTGACTGTGTAAAACTTTTTATAATAATAATGTATAACAATTAATCTCTTTTAAAAAATCTCAAATATATAATCTAGTTATTTAATATATTTATTTTAATAGAGATACTATTTTATATATTAATTTCTTTTAATAGTAAAATTTCCATCAAATTCTCCCTTTATTTCACCAATAAAATAAAGTTTTTTTTTATAGATAAAGAGAAGCAGATAAAAACAAAGAAGCAGATAAAACATGCCGCCAACAAACTACGTTATGCAAAGAAGCAGATCAAGAAGCAGATAAAACATGCCGCCAACAAACTACGTTATGCAAACGGCGGGATTTCCACAACAATCTGATCAAATTATTGGTTTGCTAAAACTATTATACACTGACAACTAGAAGGAATTGAGTCATCCCTAAGACATCAAAATTATAATGAAATCCCCCTTAAACAAAATGTGGAATTTCTTACTAATAAAGGTTGGATTGGTTGCATTTTGCAATGACTTGAGCTTAACTCCAACCACTCAGAAGAAGATACTTCGGGTGGAAAAAGTTTTAAAATTTGTCTTGTTTATGAGTTACATAATTTAGCTCATCTAAATTTTAATATATCAATGTATTTTGTTACTTTAAATATTCATGTTGTTGTTGGGCATTTTTGCTGCATTTGACATGTCAAGTAACTTGTTTTCCTCTATAATCACTATTGATCATACCTGATCAGAGAGATTGCTGGGCTGCCACGTATCTGAGCTGTCAAATGGTTGACTTGCGGATAGAGGGGGGTGTACCTGAAACACACTCCGATGCCAAACTAAACGACGAGCGGAGTGATAACAAATACAGAGAAAAGGAGTGAGAATTAGATTACCTGACCCTCTAGTGGAAGAAGGTATTTATAATGAGTCCCCAGCGCATAACCAACGGTTACTATGCATTGGACTGGGCTGCCAGGTCCAACGTTGGTAACTGCTAGGACTGACGTGGCGTCGTGAAGACCAGCATGTGGTTTTCGCCCTAGTGTAACTGTTCTGTGTTATCCGGGACATGAAGGACCAAATCATCAGGGCACAAATACTTACTTGATGACGTGTCTCCGCGTAGGGGATACGTAGAGAACGTGGGGAAGGTCATAAGAGCTTCCCGAGTTGGACGGGTCTGCCCGATGTGGGGTAGAAGGGGGGCAAGTCGGGAAGATGTAAGGATCCTGTCCGACAGCCGTTGGGCTGTGCCGGTCGGGAGTGTCACACCCTAATTTTTGACCACAAGATCCCACCTCCTTGTTGCTTACTTTTGTGTGTATGTTTATTACAGCTAACCAGTTTGTGTAGGTACATGAATGGCAAGATATAAACTCTTATAGCCGAGCATCAGAGGAACATAACCAGTATATTCGAGTCTAAAGTTCACCAATCAAGAATTCAAGCTGCCATGAAAGCGCTAAGTCTTAAATTTTTTGAAATGCAAGCTATGAGATTGAGTTCCTCCTAAGGCTTATGTTGAAGTAGACAAGGTCTGAGTACGAGTTCATATCATTTTGTTAAACAGTTACATCTCAAGGATTCACATGATACAATTGAAAGAATTGGAAACGCATTTCAAGTTGGCTTTTACATTGAATACAACTGGAATTATTTGACGACAACATACGGTTAGATAATGCAGTCTCGCAACGCGTTAAGTCCATTCATCTAAACTAGCTTTGCATTAGAGTAATCATTATGCAAGGTTATTGGTAAAGCATTGGATTTCTACAGCTCTTGAAACTGAAAATTATCATTGTTATTATTATTGTAATCTTCAGCAAAGCTTAAAAGTCGGGCTTCTAGAGGACTAAACATGAGATTATTGTCATAACAACACAAGAATACTATAACTAAGATGCCTACTAGAAAAGACAGGAAATCCTCCAAATTGATGCGTCTGAGTGACAACAATGAGCATCCCACTTTGTTTTGCCCTTCAGGACATCTGTTTTGCCCTTCAGGACATCCACGAAGAGGGAAGTGTTAGAAGCCGAAGGAAATCTCAAGCCGTCAACAACTCCACCAGAATTCAAGGGCTCTTGAGCGTTTGAAATAGACAGTACGGAGATGGCTTGCACAAGCTTCCGCCATTTCTAGAGATACCAATTCATTGCCGGCGGGATTTCGTGATGTGCAATGTAACGCCCCATATTGCTTATTAGGATTACCGACTGACCCCACAAACCAACACGGGTCTTTTCGGCATGCTTTTTCCTCACTCACACGCTTTCCGGGAAACTTCCCAGAAGGTCACCCATCCCATAATTGCTCCAAGTCAAGCATGCTTAACTGTGGGGTTCTTATGAACGGGCTACCGAAAAGAAGATGCATCTTGTTGGTATAGGTAGTACCAATTAATCCTTATAAGCCTTCATTCAACCATGCAGTCCCATACCTGCATCGCCTCAGGATCCCTCTCATTCGGATGTGAATTCAGTTTTCCCCTAGAAGCTGCTAAAAGTGTCTCATTGTCATGCCTCATGACACCGACAACCACTCCCTCGCCCACAGGTGTTACATGTAACCACCGTCCTCTTTCACCTCAGGTGTTACATGCCCACCAGCTTCCACTTGGTTCGTCCCCGAACCACATTGTACTGGGAGAGGTATGACTCTGATACCATTTGTAACACCCCATATTGCTTTTTAGGATTACCGACTGACCCCACAAACCAACACGGGTCTTTTCAGCATGCTTTTTCCTCACTCACACGCTTTCCGGGAAACTTCCCAGAAGGTCACCCATCCCATAATTGCTCCAAGTCAAGCACGCTTAACTGTGGGGTTCTTATGAACGGGTAGTTGGGAGATTAGGATGCGAGAGTCGTATCCAGAGTTATTTGAATCAGGTAACATTTTCGAGGACGAAAATTCCTAAAGTGGGGGAGGGTTGTAACAACCCAATTTTTCAATAAGTGATTAATTGTGCTAATTAATTGGTTTATGTGATTTATCTGATTTAAATAAATTATTGGATTTATTTAAATGAGTTAATGGATTTAATTAATTTATTCTACTTGGTAGAATAATGTGGATTTATTAGATATTTTCTAATTAATGATAAGATGAGATATTTTGTGAGAAATGAATTGATAGATATTTTTGAGAGAAGAATTATGATGGAAAGAAAATAGAAGGATATATAAGGGAAATTGGAGAGAAAAGAAAAGAGATAGAAACATAAGAGAAAGAAAGAAAGAAAAGGAGAGAAAGAATAGAGAAAGAGGAGAAAAGAGAAGAGAAGAGGGAAACTTGGAGAAATCATCAAGAATCAACTTCAAGCTTCAATCCAATCAAGGTAAGGGTGAGAAACATGATTATTTGATCAATGTGTATGATTATGTATGAGTTGTGTTGGATTTGTTGGGTGTTTTTCTCTATTTTCCATTTCTAGGGCAAATGAGTTAAATCGATAGAATCGAGTTTTGAACGGTTAGAATTCAAAATAAATTGCATAGTTTAGTCGGGTAATGTTTAGTCGTGATTATTGGATTTCGTTTGATTGAATTTGGTTGAGTTTGTGAGTTTTGACATTTTTGGATAATTGAGGGTTTGAGATTTGAATGAAAATCGGACGTCGTAGAAATCGTATTTAATGGTTCTAATTCACTTCTATATGTTAGGTGAGTATGAGTATGTGTTTGTTTCGAAAAAAATAATTGAATCGGTCGGATTTTCGGGCGAAAATGCAAAATCCCGTAGCCGTGTTTAGGCAAAATTCTGGTTTTTCGGAAAACTTCAAAAATTCATAACTCTTGAACCGTAAGTCGGTTTTGACCCCCGTTCAAAGCGTTGGTAAGTTAACGAGATTATATTTCTAGAAAAAATGGTTTTGAGGCCTGTACCTGGTTCAATTATAGCATAAAATTGAAAACATATTGTTGTATTGATTTTTACCGTCGCGAATGTGTGTGATTGATGTGTTATTGTGCAGAATACTTTTGTTATATAACGTATAGCTTGTGCATGTTGTGATATGATATGCTGTGGGTAGCCGTATGGCGTGAATCCTAGATGGTGGAATCGATTATGAAATATAGTCTTTTGACAAATATATGCATATTGTTTGTATGTGAAGAATGCATGAGAACATATTGTGAATATGTGTGCATTGCTTGATAAATGTGGTAATGATATTGAAGTGTAAATGCATATTGATTGTATGCGATATTGTGAATGCATGAAAATATATTGTGAATATGTGTGCATTGTTTGACAAATATGTTAATGAAAAGTATGAATACTTGATTATATGATATGTTGTGTGTGCAATCTTGTTTAATTCTTGAAGGGAAGAATT